GCAATCTTGCTATATAGAGTAGCAAGAAGAATACCTTATTGTATATATCTTGATAGTTGAAGAAATTGTTTAGTATAGATGTATTGGGCATCTAATGATATTGGTTGTGAATATGAGATCCATGATAGTTATGCAATTATCTTATGTGTTGAGGATCTCAAATATCATGATGAAACCAAATACTCAATAGTATTTCTGTGAGAGACATTAGCAAAGAAAGTGTCTTGCAATATATCTACGTAAATGATGATATGTAATCATCATACTCTAAAGATGTTTAGAGATATACTTGTTGGTAATGTTGAATCTCTAAAATTACGTAGGATATGATACTTAGTGTATCAGAAAACTCTTGATTGAGTTTTCTGTGCTCGTAGATGAACAATTTTGAATTCATGCGTAATCTATTGTTGGGATTACGTGATAATATTTTGTATGCACATATAAAGTATATCGAACGGGTTGAGATTGACTCACTCACACAAACAATCGCCTCAAATATTTTGGAGTATGCTGAGATAAGACATAGTGAACATGTTGTGTATATGATCTAATCGCCTTGATGATTTATCAAGATAAGATTATAATAAATAATCGATATGGATTTTGCTATCTATTAGAACTGATTTATAGGTAGATCGAGTTCTCAATTGGAATTGGTTAGAGGAATAAATATAAGGAGAACTCATGTTAGATATTGAGGAATATCTGAACTATGATATGTACGGTGTATTTTATTTGTAAAATTAGACATACACTCTAAGAAAAGTAGAAAACATCGAACTCGTGTTTTCATACCACGTGTACTTTAACGACCAATGAGAAATGAAAAAAATTGATCCCTCCTTCATTGTGTCAGTCTCTAAGACATGGACTTATATACCCTTATGACTTTTAACTATTTCTTAAAATTTTATTTCGATGTTTGCTAATTTAACATGTTGTCAATAACTATGGTTGATTCGATTTCATATAACATGTTTAGGAAAGCAAATGACTTGAAATTAAAGGATTCAAGTAGGAAATGAAAACTATTTTATTTAACACCTCAACTTATATTCACTGATCAGACAATTGTGTTAACATTTTAAGTTTGCAATACAATTGTGAATACGATAAAGATTAGAAAGTTGAGTATGTTCCTTAATTAATTGAGGGGTCATAAATACTCGAACTGGTGTTACATAATATGTTTAGGGTATAGCGTGAAATATATTTCTTCTTTTAGAGCTGTTATATATCCCTAACAGGTAATAGTGTGCTCTTATATTAACTACCTGATCGTACGATCCATTTACATATATGAACTTGGAGATAGAGGTGTTAATCCAGGTGGTTCGGGCAGGGTCGGCCCGCCAACATATGAGCCCGGTAATGACCCGAGTGAAAAAAAAAAGCCCACCCGCTACGGGTTCCGGGCCAGTTCCGGGTCGGCCCACAAAGTTTGGAATACAAGCCAGACCCGCTCGCTGACCCATCCAGGTCACGGGTCGCGCGGGTCACAGTTTGTTTCGATTTGACATGTATTATTGTATAAATAAAATTAAAAAAATATAGGTTTTTCATATTTATAACAAAAAATATTTTTTTGTTAAAT